AAAACTTAAAATCTTTATTAATAAAATTAATAAAATATATATTAAACTATATTTTTTATATAATAATGATATTATTAAATTAATATTTAATATTTTATAAAGAAATTAACACTTTTTTTTAACTTTACAGGCAAATTTTCCTGCTCTACAGTTTAAGGCATAATTGATTTTATTAAATTATAGGTGATAAATTTTTTTTTAAAAACATTTTACTAAATTTTATTATTAAAGTATGAATAATAATAATTTTATAATAAAATATTACTTGATACTTGTTTTTGAAAGTTCAACAATTGCAATTCATATAATAAATATCAGTATTTTCTAATTCTTTATTTTTTAAGTTATTTAGGTTTGGGATTTTATACTTTCAGAAATAGATGATCTTCAGTATATTATTACTTTCAGTTTTTCAATTTTTCGAGTTAATAAGATATTTAGTATTTTAAACTTTCAAAATTTGTGTAACTTGAGAATTTGACATTCGGGTTTATATTTAGTCAGATTTTAAGTTTCAGTTATTTAGATCAAATCTATTCTAACTAATAATATAGAATAACTACTAATTATTTATAATGTTTTTTTATTAAGTAGCAATTGTATTAGGCAACTTTAATTTTAATCAAAATGCTGATTTTTTTGGCAATTATTAGTAAAAATTAGACTATATTTTAGTTAACTTTTAGTATAGAATATAACAAATAGATTATATTAATTAATATATAGTAGTTAATAATTTTATCTAGCTTTACTAATTATTGGTCAACTTGTATTTATATAACTATTTGAAAATTATTTTATCCATTATTTTTAAAAGTTTCTTAACATTAAAATAATAATATGAAATTCTATCAAATATTAAAAAACTACAAATGAAAAATATCTCTATATAGTTATGGAATAAGATATAATATTATTATTCAAAATTCTTAATAAATCTTTTAATTAATATTTTATTTAATAATATTTAGGATTACTAATTTATTTCTAGACTCTAATTGGTTAGTATAATTGATATTAGTAAGTTAGGATTAGGGTTAGGGTTAGAATTAAGGCTTAAGTTAGTAATGTTTTAATTTTATTAAGTATCTGAGAAACTTTGAATTTTTTTTGGATGGTAATGTTTATTTATCTTATTTGTCATTTTTTTGATACATGATAAATAACATAGTTAATTATATTAACTAATTATAGCCTAAGATAAATTAGGGAACATATTGTGAGCTTTAGAAAAAATGCATAAAATATTAATCATTTGATATGCAATTATCTTTCTGTATTTAATAATAAATTCTTAATCTCTTATATTACAGATTTTATAAGCTTAATATCATATGACCTATCTTATTTAAATTATATATTTAAATCAAAAATAGATCTCTCTTTATTTGTTCGTCTTTAATCAGATATACATATTATATATTTTAATAACTCTCTTATTGATTAAAATATATGCTATAAAATAGTATATGCATTTATATTTTCAATGGTATAAAATTTTGATTGAAAGTTTTCAAATCAAATAATATTATTAGAAAATTATGCTTTTAAACCTTTAAATGTACCTCTAATAATATTTTTAATCTTTCAAAAAACATATTACTGTAATAGTATAATTGGAGTAATAACTGATATAATCAATTTATTTATATTACTTTCTTTATTTGTGATTCAATAAATCTATGAAATATTTATTATTTTCAAATTAATAGAACTAATTATTATTATTAGTGTTTGGATCTGTGAATCTGCAATCTGTGTATTTATACATATAACGGATTGCAAATACTCATTTTATTACTTCGGATAGTATCCATAGATAAATAATTTTGTATGGATAATCTGTAGATAATCTGCGGATAACATATATTCATAGATAATCGGATATGCGGATAATTCAGTTAGCATTTATAGATTTACCTAATCAGACTAATAAATAATTCATTCCTGCTATTGTCTGGTTCTTCAACTCTATCACTATCTAGACCTACTTTTAATATTTTGTGATATATCATAGTTTAAATTATAAAATCATAGTCACTGTTGTAATAAAAACAAATGATCTTTTTCTTTGGATGCATACTGAACTGACCAAATAGTAGGATAGGCAGGTGGATGAGACACATTTGTCTTATAATTTCTTTCTTTAAGTAAAAAAACCAAAAATATGGTTTTTCTAGCATATGCCAAGCCTGTAGAAATCAGACGTGAAAAAAAGTCAACTCACCTAACTGTAATGGAATACGATTTTGAACTTAGTTCAAATTTATATAGCCATCAAAATAATATAAATTGGTTTGCATATTTCTAGGTGAGACCCTGGAAAATCAAATATACTAGATGTGATATGTATTGTGTTGGGTATAACAAATTTAAGTTAGGTAAAAAATTTTCAAACGTTATGACGTGAAGTTAGAAATGATAGAAAGAAAAAAAACTAATCTAACCATATTTTTAATGCTTAGGTTCATGCATATAATATGCGAGACCTGATTTATAAATGGGGTCAGGCTAGTATCAATAAAGCCTATGTTGCTTCTGTTGCTAGTGATGATGAGAATATGAAAGATAATTCAACGAGCATGATTAAAAAGTTATCTCATAGTGATCAAAATGGAAAATCTGCTTTTAAACTGAAGGTTCGATCTGAAACTTTGCCTTTTTTACATTGACAAAATCATTTTCTTAGTTTCATATTATATTTAGGAATTTGCCTCAAATTCATCTGTTCGTCATGACTCAAGATTTTCTTCTTCAACTCATATGAGCAATACTGAGAAAAAAGGTACAAATCAATTGAGGTTTTTATGCAAATTATAATAAGTTTAGCTAAGTGTTTATTTATTATGAAGCAACATGCTACGGGTTTTAAAGTAAAGAATGATGACCAATACAGCTGGTTGCAAGAAGTTCACGATTTAGATGGAAATCCCGAAGGTATCATTCTCATATATCGAAAAGTATTATAACTCTCAGGGTTCCTAATTAAAAAATTTTTTTTCAGATTTTTTTTTTGGTTATCATATTGCGTTCGCAAAAAGTTTCACACTATTAACTTAATATCTTAAAGATGCAACAGCCTCTCCAGCACGAAAACCCACAAATTTCTAATACTAAC